TATTAGTTGTGTCTACATGTATACAATTCCTACTATCTTCATTCTAAGCCACTATGTCTACTAACAACTCTTAGCTATTCTCTGTTACTGCTAACTCTAAGTCCTACAAGTAGTAGTCTAGAAACCACTCATCCTCATTCTCAGAATGTCTCATTACTGCTTGTATCTTCAATATCTTCATAGTACTAAGAACAAAGTTTCTCCCTTATAATCAACATGAAGACCTCTAAAGCCTTATTCCTTTACTACCAAATTCACCCTTTAAGGACCTGCCTATTAAGTGTATAATAGTCTAGCTTGATACTATCACACTCTTACTTGTCAAGCAGTCTAGAAAGGAGGTTATTAGTGTTACCTACATTCCTACACTTACTAACAACATTACACTCATTATTAGGCAAAATGGTTTACCTGACAGTCTTGACAAGGTAGAGAAGTACTTACAGACTATCTAGACTACTCTTAAGAATGTACAGGCTACACATAGCCCTGTAGGACATGAAGGTACCCTTAACAAGTTTGACATACCTACTAATGTATTGTCAAAACTCTTTCATTAGTACTATATTTTCTTACAGGAGTACTTGAAGAGACAGTTTGATAAGACAAATAGCAATTTTATGTATAAGGCTCTTACAAATGTAAGGAGGAATAAGGACACACCTCTACAAGGTAAGGAGAGAATACTACTATAGGACATTCAGTAGGGACTTATTAACCTGATTATCCAGCTATTCAAAGTGTACAACAGGTTTTTGTCAGAGGAGGGATTTATTGTTAATATAATACAATTCTGTTCAGAGACAAACTACTAGTTGAATTAAGGCTTACAGGGGTGTGGTGAGTTCTTAGATAGTATATGTACATAGTCCTCATTCAATACTTCCTTCTCTTCCTCTGTTATCTGGTTGGGCAATTTGAGTATATTGTTAGTTAAGCCCTACATTTAGGATGACCAGCTCTACTACTTTTTCTTGTTCTGTTCCAACACTCTAGTAGTATACTTATTCTACTTTGTTTGCCAGTTTCTTGTATGAGTTACTGACAGTTTTGTACAGTGAAGACATATGTCTTGGATCTGAGTCTCATCTGTTAAGGTGCAAGTTTTGAACACAGGCTCAAGAAAATCCTTACACTAGACTTATACATATTCTAGCTCCTTGTCCTCACACACTTGTCCTTGTTTGGTTATATCCTTGACAAGAAGGATCTTGTCATCAAGTGTGTACATACTCCTGACTATGAGTATCTAAACTATAATCTTGTAACAAACAAGGAGCTTAAAGTAATAATATTGTTAGGAAGGGTTCCTTACTCTCATACTAGTCTTGTTGACAAGCTATGAAAGCTGAACATAGAGTACAGAGTTGATAAGTTGCAGAAGTTTGGCTTTAGACTTGAGGTCCATACTAAATGCAAGGTCCTTGTGTTTCTCATTTTACATAGCCTTATTGTGTTCAACTACATTTCTGTAACAAAACTCAGCTGTCTTAACTGTTTTGATTTTGTTAAGTGTTACAACAAGATTGTAGAGGCTATAAGCCTGCAAACATATCATTTGTACAGTTTACACATACAGGCCTACTTTTGGATTGTACTACAGACTCTAATCATACTACAGATCCTGGAAGAAATGTACAAAGTTGTAGAAGATTACTTCTACAATCTTATAACACTAGATTAGCTACATACTCTTTCTGAGAGTAGTTCTAGTAGTTTTGAAAAGAAGACATCTGTAAATGTTGACTAGGCTAGGGTTTAGGAGGATACTCATAATTGGCAAGTACTTTTTCTTTTCATTTTCATTTTCATTTCAACTATTATATTACTTACACTTGTAATAGGTCTGTTCTACACCCTACTACTTTGACTGGGTATAAGTATTAATTTCAACTACTTTCTTACTGTCTATTACTATGTACTTTCCTACTTTCTACTACTATGTACTTTCTTACTGTCTACTGCTTGCTGCCTATTACTGTGTAACAAATCTGATATTTTTGTATAAACTATATTTGTGTTCTCCTAAGATAAAACCAGGCTGAATTTACTTGCACATCCTATAGTAATATGTGTGTATCTAATGTTGGTTGACCATCCCTCCTGTAGATCCATTCAATTCACTTATGCTAACTCAATCATTACCTTCTTTCAAACAAAAGGCACAATAAGAGTAGACTCCTGAGAGACTATTATAACTGTATACTCTACTTACCCCTCCAGTTACTCCTACATTGTCTACTTCTCTCACCAGCCATAGAGTAGACAATGTTGTTATGGATAAGACTTCTAGCACATTTGCTACCTCAGTAAGAGGACCTGTAGCACCTCTGCCTACATTCTTATCTACTAGCCTTTTTAATAACTTACTCTCTATGTTCACAATGTCTTATATGGGTCCTCCCTCCCCTGTCACTGTCAGTCCTAACACTAGCACAAGTGCTGAACTGGGGGACTGGAATGGCCTGCACCATCCTTGCTACAGTGTAGTCATCCAATTCTACACTGTCTAGAGGGGGCACTAACAGAAGTGTTGGCAGGATGAGTCCTGGTCTTGTGATAAGTATTGTTTCTTATAATCTCTACAATATGTATATGTATTGCTTCCGAGTCATTGTACAAACAGACAATTGAATCTGCTGTACATCACCAAATCGAACACGAAAATGTATTGGAATTTACTGCTAAGACATATATTTTTTACATATTGTGGACCCTTATATTCGCTTATAAAGTCTACATGTTTATATATTGCCTTGTCAGACTCTGTACGTTTTGGTGATGTATAACCTTTGGCTATCAACTGTGGACAAGTAAGGATCAAGGCATATTTGCAAGCAGACCCAGTGTGTCTGTACTCTGTGTTGTCTGTCAGACTCTGTCTGCTCTCATGCCTTTTTAAATTAATTGACTTTGTTAAGGTTGGGAAAACATAAACTCAACCAACCTGTCACATCAGTCACAGCACAGCCACATACTCCTTTGGGAAGGACCCTACGGCAAAAATTTCTAGGTCAGAAAAAATTGACTTTGTTTTATCAGCTCTAGCAAGTTCAAAACTTATTCAGATACAATTATTAATGTCTAAAGTTAGTTTTTAAATAGTTATATAGTGTTTGTTCAACTTTCTAAGTGTTTGGAAAAATTTACTTTAAAAAACGCTGACAAATGTATTATTATTAACACTATTACATAACTTTTTGTATTATATAAGCGGCAAAAATCTGGGTCGAAAATTTTCAAGTAGTGCTCAAACTCATAGAAATGCAATTTTAGACCATTTTAACAAAAAAAGTTTTCTTAGGAAATAAAAAAATTTGTACTTAATATTTTTGAAAAATAAAAACATACATTTGTAGCTACAGATGTCCTCTACAATTCTATGTTGCCCAAATATTCATTTGAGGTTATTTGAGGAAGTTATTTCGTCCATCATTGTATGGCCCAAAAGAGGCTAGTACTGCCGCGTCACAGTTGGTTGAGTTTATATTTTCCCAACCTTACCAATACTCATTAGTGAATCCTATTGACAAGAATTCTTGAGCAAGTAGTGCTCCGCACCGTAGCGTAATTTACGGATACGCCTGCAGCGTATACGCTTACGCACCGTATCGTAAGAGAAAATTTTAGCTGAAAATACGGGCGTATATTTACGCGCGTATGCATATACCATAAGTAAAAAATTTCCGTATACGCCGTATACGAGTATACGGTATTACTAAGCATATTCTCTAATTAAATACTAAGTTTGAGTTTCTAAACCTCATTTACTTTACTTATTTATATACCAAATCATTTTAATACTATATAACAACCTTGTTTAACTTAAAAAGTACTAGTATGAGTACTACAGTTAGTATGGTTACTACGGTACATCACATGAAGGTTTAGAGCTGTCACGTGATATTACTGCTACGTGCATAATTTCTTAGAATGGCAATATATCACGTGATTTGTGTCGCGAGATGTTCACCTCAACTAAAATTCAAAAGATTTGTAGATTACTTCTCAAAAGTGTTATAGTACATGTATATAACATATTTAAAATTTATATTTTGACTATTATAGTATATATCTGTAAAAAAATTGAGATAAGAATGATTACTTGGACTTATATAACTAAAACTATGCTTATTTGATGATACTCACAATAACTGTCCTGAATATGTAAAAACTGTAGTATCTAAAATTGACTGCCAAAAATTACAATTAGGCACTCTAAATTTCTACCACTATCTATAGAATGTTATGTACGAATCTCATGAAGATTAGTTGGCTACTTGATTTGATACATTACAAGTTTAGCCAGCAGATACTAACAGAATCACCATTTCAAACAAAAACAATTCTGTAACATACACAACTAAGCCTTATAAATTATGTGTAAGCTCTTAAAATCATTGTTATTATATATTAAAAGACATGTTATAATATTACAGAGGTTGGCAGGCTAATTGATTTGATATTCTGTAACTTTTCACAAGGTATTGATACAAAAAAGACACAGTTCAAGTTCACATTCATGTTTCTGTCCACACTAACTACAACTTCACACTCAGTCTCATCAACGAATCCTGAGTCACACATCAGCTGGGTTAGGTTATACAGTACAATTGAGGGAGAGGAGATGTGTATTAGAATCCTGCTTGCTTCAAAGTAACAGCTCCCATTTCCTTACTATGAAGCCTACACCCACATATCTGTCCTGTTGAGTTAATCTAACAATTCCTAAATAGCTTGTCTACAATTGTAGAAGGCAAGAATGACAACACCATCTGTTGCTAAGAACTGTAGACTAAGCCCTTTCACATTTCCACATGACTATAAAGGGAAGGAGAGTAGTACTGTAAGTTCATTTGGTTCTATTTGTATTCACAAGTAAGGATCTTTTGCCTTCAGAATTTGCACTCGTGTCAGAATCTCCAGAGTTCCCATTCATAATATTATGATCTGTGGCAAGGAATGACTAACCAAAACTAACAGTATTATTGTCTCTTTCACTATATAACAAGCCTACTACTCTCAAAGATAATAACACCGCGGTCAACAATATCAAGTTCACCACTGCCTTTCCTACCAACCTCGTACTCTCTCTGTCCCACTTCATCAAAATATTCTCTCCTCCATGCATCTGTCCACCGAACACATTCGAGTTTGGGCAATGCCTCTGCTAGCTTTTTTGTTTCGCTTCTTTCCCTCAGCTTTGCAGCTTCGTCATCGCGATCAAGTGTACAGTCCTTGCAACATCTATATCTGAGCAGCGAGGAGTCGCTTCCATGCTCCTTGTCATGATATTCCCTGGCTGCCTCCACTTTTTCCCTGCAAGTAAGCGATATATGCAGTGAAAGAAGTCGAAGGTGCTGCAATTCGATAAGGGCGCCTTTTAATGCAGAAAATGCAGCGATGCGTTCAGCCATATACCCTGTCTGACCCATTAGAATCGAACAAGATTCAAAATCCTGTCAGCAAACGTTTAAGCCATATTGAAGACGTATGCTTACCTCATGGGCTTCGCTTTCCAACAAGAAAAATTTCGAGAACAGTATATCTGCTCCAACAAGATCCGTTGGGTGAGCGTACGCCAAACGTAACTCGACAAGGTTAGGAAAGTTGAGCTTCGCGGCAAAATCGGGATGGAAAAAATAAGGGAAACAGCAGTAAAGATCAAGCCTTCTGAGGCTTTGTACAATTGGAGTTTGCAAGACAAGCCATGGTACAAAGCGGCAGCCAAAGACAGTTAAGACAGATTCAAGGCTGTTGAGGTGCCGTGCCCATATGGTATGATCACTAGTGTGTTTACATAGCGGCTGTCCTTCATCATTAATGACCATGTGTCTAGCGGAAAGAAGTGTTGTACAGACAAATGTCTATTTAGGCATTCATACAGTGGTTATTCTAAAAAAAATCATACCTGACTGACCCAGCTGGAAAATCGGGCTTTAAGACATCTTCTGCACAAGATGTAACAACGGATCTCCCACGTAGACTATTCTCTGCTGTTTTGACAAGTTTACGACATTCCGTCGATGCATTCTTGAACCCTTCGACGAGAGCAAAATCCTCGTGAGGTGGAAAGAACATGTACGGTTTCCAGTCCGACGTTCTTATTGCTAGTCTAAGAATGTCTAGCTATAGCTCTAAAGGAAGAGCTAGACTGAAATGAGTTCTTGACACCATCTCACCATCTAATGATGGAGAAGGTGAGAGGAAAAAATGCGCTGGGATAGTGGATGTGTTGAGTCAAGACTGAGACACCAGACCAGAAGTAGTCAGTTGCATCAATTCTGCATCCAAGCCCTGAGTCCCACAGCTCTTTTTTGGTTAGTCTGAATTGGCCACTCACTGTCCAACTTGTATTTCACTAAGTCAAAATAAAGTCAGTTTTCTAATGAAAATACATATTCCCCTCCCTAATCCCATCCTCAAGCCTAGCCAATACCCAACCTAACAGCCCAACCTATCCTAAACCTAATTGGGGTGGCTTTGCCCCTCCAAACCCCCCCTCCTAACTTCTTAGTCTGAGAGCCACCACATAAGTATTATGTAAGTGGCCATTCAGGGTCGTCCAAAAAAGAGCCGTGAGACTCAGGGCTTGGATGCAGAAAGTCAAGTCTGGAAGTAGTCAGTATTCTCTAGTCACTATTTGAATTTATTAATTAAATTTGATGCTGATTTTCTTACACACTTCAAAACTTAAAATTCAAAATTAGTAAATATTTATTCAAGATCTATAACACAGTGCTTTGAGTGTACTCGAATTATAATGCACTGATCTTTAAATCCACAAGATAATCAGTAGGCACACAGTCATATTAAAGTAATGAGTTGCTAGTGAGTTCCAAGTAATGAAGATACACTGTGAAAATAGCTTGGTCAATATTATACAAGACTGACTCAGAGGTAGTCAAACCAGTAGCTGGAAGGCTTATATGTATGCTACTGTTCAATTGGGAAATAGTCTGGATCAAAATGGAAATAGTAGTTATAATGAGTGATGTAGCATATACTCACAATAATCTCAATATTCTCTGCATACATTCTTCACTATGGACACAATCCCTTACTTCATTTTCCTTCATCAAAACAGTGTATGTATGATAAATAGTCTGTTATTAATGCAGCCAGACATCTGTGAGACAATTCTGATCAATTGACCTTAAGTTTCAAATGCTTTACCTTGCCGAGTTTATCCCAAAATGTATTGCAGAGCGACCAAAATGGTCTATAACATTATACTACCCCTCCCAACTAATACTTAATTCAAGCTGATTTCTTAGATATTCGTAACGATATCTTTTATTGTCAACGTCAACATCAACGTCCATTACATCGAATACGAAACAGTGAAACAAAACATGACAAAACTGTACAGAACAGAACAGAAACAGAACATGAAACGAAGCGAAGTGATAAAACATGAAAACATGATGGATCCTAGAGATGGAGATAAAAATAAAGGTAAAGAAAAAAGTAAATCCTCGTGTGATCCGTATCTATATGATTTAAGTCAGGAGTTAGGAGTATACGTGACGAGGCGTAATAAGAAAAAGAAAAAGAAAGGCAGAGAGCCGTGGGTACAGGCCGCCTTCGAACTGGCCTGGCGAGGATGGGAGAGTGAGTGGGCGATGCGGAATATGGATACAAAAACGCGTGAATAATCAAATGATTGAATAGATGAATAGATGAGTGGTTTCTGTATCTATTCGCTAGGATGAGTACGGGCAAGTGCCGAGGTGTAGAGTCTGATCCAAGTTGCGTGAGATGAAAGCAAATAAACAAGGATATACATGATCCGCCAACCACACGTCTATGCCCATCTCCCAAGCAAAGACATCAACCCCGCACCGAAGAGCATGCAAACACACGCATATATAAGCTTCCCATTACTCGCCTCCCTCATCTCACTACTAAACAAAAACTCATGCGCAAGGAGCTCTACCAAGCCAGTGTACACAAGCACGCCCGAGCTCAGCGCGTCCATGATACCAGATACAGCTGACGCCTTGGCAGAGTCGGGATTGTACGTTGAGCGCACACCGAGTCCAGCGGCGATACCGATAGGCGTGGAAAGCCCGTAGATAATGGCGGCGACGTAAGCTACGTAGTTGTATTTCTTTGGAAGCTTGAGGAAGGCGAGTCGAGATCCTAGACCGAGACCTTCGAATGTTTCTATTTGACGTAAAGAATGGCCAGTCTAGATTATCATCCGGGGAAGTATGGGAATCTATGACACTTACGATGGAAGATGAGAACGACGAAGAGGACCTTGAAATCCTCGTCAACCGCAAGGGTAAGCCCAATCAGGACACTATGCAACAACACCCCGAATTCAAGAATGAAGATGCCAATGACTTGTGCCAACGCCGAGGCCTTAATCAACTCGCCCGACGACTCGTTCTCGTCTATATTGTCGGAGATGTCCGCAAGGCCAGCAGATCCTTGTCCAACGCGTTGGACAGGAGCAGACGTCCGGGCCTTCTCGAGTTCGTCCTTGTCCTTAGTGCTAGAGCCTGTAGAAGCTGCATCAGCATTCAGTACTACCGGTCGCTCAGGCGCTTGCGCACTCGCAGTCTCGGTGGCCACTGCCGCCTCAGGTCCATGTGCAGCATGGCCTGTACCAGTATTATGTCCATGAGAATCTACGTAACGCGTGGCAGTTAGTATATCATGCGTTATTACATATTGGAACGTCGTAGATTTGGATAGAAGTTCTCACCATAGGTTATGCCGAGCTTCGCAAGTTTTGCCGTGCCCCATCGGAAGGCAAAAAGCTCGACGAAGAAGATGACGAATATGCTGAACATGCAGAGGGCGAGGGCCCAGGGCTAAATCGATATCGTGACCGAAAGTCGTGGGATTAGTACGAGTGAATGACAGAGTGGATGGGTAGAGGGGACGTACATAATCTTGCCACCCTCCCGTCAGACAGGGATTACTAAGGGCGTCGGTGGCAGGGTCGAGGAGGTGGATGAAGGCAGTGGCAATAATGACGCCCGAACCAAAGTACTTTGCAAAACTGAATTAAAGTTAATTTAAAAAAATATTAATCAACATCTGTAAAAAAAATTAATAAAATATGGATATATGCGCACTCGAAGGCAGACTTGGGGATGACGTTGCGCAGGCGCGAACGACGAGCGATGACAGGGAAAAGGGTACCGAGACTCGAACAGACCAAGATGATGAATATGGATGCGATGCGGAGGTGGAGGAAGGTATCGGCGTTGTCAGGGTTTCCTGAGCACTCGTCTTGGCTGGCATCAGCGGTGGGGTCGCTGCTGTCGACAGCGGACTCTGTGGCGGAAGCAACGAGGGAAGTGATAGTTTCGACCGTCGAAGACATGATTCAGATGAGTAGGCGGGTGGCGAGTGGGGAGAAGGAGGAGTTAGAGGAGGGGGTCGCTAAGAGGGCCCGAGAACAGTAGACAGGGGGCCGGCCTGTGGGTGTGGTTTATGAGGAGTATCAGTACCGGTGGATAAGTTATGTAGTAGGGAATATGGGCCAAAAAGAAATTAAATTAGAGACCCTGACTGTGAAGGTCCTCACTCATCCCCTTTCGGCTATTCTCGTCCAATCACAGCCGTCCCAATGACAATCGCCTCCCATTCTGTGCCGTGTGTCCCGTCGTCACCGGCAGGGCATCCATCTCGACACACTCTATCGATACAATAATATTACAACGCAATGAATGCAACAGAAGAATATTGTTGTATTGTTGTGGACGTCCGAGAAGACTTCTGTACTCCGTTACTTTGTCATCGTGGCGCTGCTTTTGGGTCAGGTATCTAGACCTCACACACATGCAACACATGTACAGCAGTAGCATCGTAAGGTTCATACGTAGTGTCGTATGCAAGCTCCGGTCCTATCTCACCTCATCTCACCCACGCTTATCTTCAACCCTCTAGCTCCGTCATCTTCCTGACTGCTCGACCGTCGTACATTCCGGTTCGTCTCCCCATTCTCGCCCTGAAACATTCTACTCAGCGCTTAAGAACAGTCAAACACGTTAAAAAAACGACTTGACTGTGACTGTGCTGAGCGTTTAACCATCTATTGTGGTACTCCTCGACAGCAGTTTTAGAGAATTTCCCGGCTCATATCCGGAACGCTGTTGGACAACAGCGAAAAAGCATAGGCCGCCCTGAAACGCTCCAGGGAGCTGGAAAAATTTGATCTACTAAAATAAACATGCATACAGTACCGTCGCAGTCATCAGTGCCTCGTACGAATCAGGGTGACAGCGACAAGATGACTCGCAGGCCAAGTGTACTTCGAAACTGATCGTCCTGTATTTTGGTATAGCGAAGAGCGCATATAGTGTACCTACATCACTTGGACCTCTGCTTAGGTATGATCGTGTGCCTGTCAAGTCTCTCCTGGATTCGAAAAACCTGTATATAGTTGGTACTTGTACATGCGAGGGACTACACACATACTGAACTAGGAGTACATAGGAAGTTAGTCAGACAAGTTAAGTAGTATAGCCTGCAACAGGATAGGGTATGCAAGACCAGGACAGTACGCAAAATGAGACACAATAGTTAAGATGCAGAGGCAGAGGAATGGAATCTAATTACCATCAGTAAGACAAGAACTGCCAATTACAGGCAAGCCATAGAAACAAAAGTAGAGTTGTAAAGATCTAAGAAAAATACACAGTATGGAGGGATGGTGAATAAGAAACTTGTCTTAGTCTACATAATAACAAATTGACTCGGAGTCTGAACAGCGTGCGAACTTTACTGCATTGATCCAATATCCAAGCGCTTTTTACCTCTCACCTTCTTGAATCACCAGACAGTCAAATGTCATCAAGAGCTCAAAATACTTTGACGCTCCCTACCGAGCTATGGATGATCATCCTCCGGCTAGCTATTAGAACGTCGGATTGGAAACCGTACATGTTCTTTCCTCCTGTCGACGATTTTACTCTCATTGAAGGGTTCAAGAAAGCATCGCCGGACTTTTGTAAATTGGTCGAAACGGCAGAGCAAATCCTTCGTGGGGGAAGTGTTATTTATGCCCGACTTTCCGGTCGGGTCGGTCGGGTATGACTTTGTTTTCAGTACATCCGCTGTATGAATGCCTAAGCAAACATTTGTTCAAACAACCCGTCTTTACTGTCAGGCACATGCAAATCCTAGGAAGGGTACATAGAATCGGTCGTGACCATACTATGGTTTCACAGCACTCTGCTACTCTCGAATCTCTTTCACTTTATTTCCATAATAGTTCTGTGCCAATGTGGCTCCAGGAAACTCCGATCGCACAGAGTCTTCGAAGGCTTGATATTTCTTTGTCAATCCCAATGATACCCTGAAACTCGACTTTCCGAACCTTCATGAGTTGCGCCTAGCAGTCTCAAATCCAATGGTCAGGGATGCAGGACTACTTCTGTACACGAAATTTTACCTGCTGTATAATGATCACCTTGAGGTAAAGCATACATCCATGATATTGTATTAATGTCTGTTCGCGGACGCTTGAATCTTGTATTACGTCTATATGGGCAGATGTGGCGAATGTCCGAACACATCTCTGTGTTAAAGGGTGTCCTTGTCAAATCCCAGTGCCTTCGGCTTCTTTCAGTACACATGACCTTTACATACGAGGAAGAAGTGGAGGCAGCCCTTAAACATCATTAGAGGGAGCACGGAAGCGACGATCCATGTTATGGCTTCAGGAACTGCAAGGACTGTACATCCGATCGGAATGAAGAAGTTGCAATGGCGAAGGAAAGAATGGTAGTAAAGGAGCTGGCAGAGGCATTGCCCAAGCTTGAATGTGTTCGGTGGACGGATGCATGGAGCAGGGTGTATTTTGATGAAGAGGGTCAGCGAGAGTATGAGGTTAGTAGGAAGGGCAATGGTGAACCAGTTATTTTTGAAAGGGGTATTATTGAAGAGTCCTGGCCTCTTGATAGCGTGACTCCTGCCCAATGTGTACGGTTTTGAAGCACGAACAAACAACTGGGACTACTGTATCATTTTTGGTTGCCCTGTTAAAACCTTGTACCTGATAAGTCTCTTGTGACCTCAGAAAATGTATGTAGTTCGTTCGAGTACGTTCGAGGAACTGCACGGAAGATATGGTTTGTTTAATGAATGATCACAGTTACAGGCAGGCGCCGAAGACGGTAGGATAAGACTGGAGGTATACCGGGACAGAATTCAAGATAGCAGTTTAGCTGGAATAACCTGAATCGAACACCATACAATGCAGGGTATAAAACACTCAGTGAGATTGTTCGTTGCCTTGGTAACTGTCGATTTGTGGGTATGGTGTAAGGTGAGAACGACACGTTACGATGTAGATGACGCGTGACGCGACGCGACGCGGTCCGCTGGTACTGTCGCGGTGCCCCATGTGGTCAATTTAAGAGCATTCCTCATATTATTATTTACTACAGCTGTTTTATAACACAAAAAAATTATAATTATATATTAAAACATCTTAGCTAAAAATTATTGGTTTTATTTTTGTAAAATATTAAAAAATAAATATTTTATTGATTTTACAAAATGACAAGTTAAAAAGTGTGCTTTGACGCGTCTGACCCACATGTGGACACCCCGTGGGAAGGGAGACTTAGACAGATCTGCACACACATACAGACTTAACTTCAATCCTATCCAGACCAATTTACATTCGTCTGGATAGAAATCAAGATGAGTTCATTACTTAATTATGTACATTCTATTTATTAATCGATTTTATGTTTCTTTTTACAGGAATAGGCTTGTTGTAATGACTTGGAGTCTCTTACCTATGTTGTACTGTCTGCCTCTTGCTCTCCTCCTCCTGTGCTTCCAGAATTCGCTGCTGTTCCTCTAGTCTGCTATCCTTCTCCTTCTAATACTTGGGTTGTCAAGTTTGCTTGGCAATCTCTCTCTCTTCATACAGTTGCAAGTGTTCTGTCATCTTGTATTAATGTTAATTAAGCTCTTCCTCCTTTACTACAATCTCACACTCCTTCTGCCATTACAGTTCCACTACTTGCTGACTCCTTGTTTGACTGTTCCTGAGAGATGGATTGATGTTGATGATGGACATTAGCCAAGACACTGTGTGGGTCTGTTTGGACAACAAAATCCTATGTCTGAGAAAGGAGTAGTAGGTAGTTACTAGTACACACATTCTCCTTCTTACTCTCTGAATTAATGGCTGAGTTGGGAGTGCAGTAGGCTGGCCTTGGTCTCAGTTGCTTCCTTGGTAAGTCAGCTGTACTTGTTACAGTCCTTTCTTCAGATTTCTTTTTCTTCTTCAGGTTCATTTCTACTACTTACTATACCTTCTCTCTTTCTCT